GAGATTGAGATTAAAGTGAAGTTTTACCTAAATTTATCCGGGCGGGTAAGCACTTTTGCCACTGTTAAAACAGGGATCACATGGCTATTAACAAGATCGAAAATCTTGTTAATTTTGGTCATATAAAATTATTTCAAAGCTTCTTCCGAAAAAATTACAGATGCTGCTTTGTGATTTTTTTGAGTTACTTTGTAAATAAAAAAACTGCCAGTAAATGACGTTTTCCAAATAGAAAACTTTCGGTTTAAAATCATGTTTTTGCACTTGTTCCCTCAATGTTAGAGTACTGTGATGTCAAAGGCGCCTTTACATAAAATTTACCCACGTTCATCTAAAATTAATGGTTGTAAAATTATACCAGAGAAGATGCCCTTTGTATGGTGTGTGCTCGTTATCTATTAGAAACCGAGTTCTCGCAAGGGTAATAGCAGCAAGACTCAGAGACTGGAGTGAAGAATTCGGGGCGTTAGATGATAACCAAGACGGCTTCCGGCAGAACAGATCTACAGCTGATACCACCCAAATAACGATCAGACTACAGAAAGATAACCGAGTGATATGCGAAAACGAGAGTCTGAGCAGAGATAAAGCGTTTGTTCTAGATGTAAAGAAAGCATATCCAAGACTCAGCGGACCTCTTCGATGAAAAATGTAGGTAGGATATGGGTTCGGGTGTGATTTCGTAATTTCTTCGGACGACTGAAGGGCATGCATGGGATAACAGAATACAAGGTGATAGGCAACAAGGAGCTTAGCTCCAAATACACACTGCAGCGAGGATTGAGAGAAAGATATTCTTTTTCGTTTATACTTTGTGATAATCTTCGTCAGACTACATTGAGAGTTGCGGAAAAGCAGCCCAAATATAATGAGCTGAAGAACTCGTTATACCCAAAAAATCTTGCATGACACATCGAAGGGATAGAAGGATTGCTGAAGAGAAACAGTTTTTTCTTAGGAACACCTTGTATGCCGACGACACTACGAGTCTGAGTAACAAGGAGAAAATGTACGACGCGAAAAACAAAACCAAAAGAGTCATGAGCTTCCCCGGGTTGACCTCCATAGACCGAAAATGCTAATCATACAATTTCATACACTCAGTCTATGGAAAAATGCTAGTCATACAAATTTCATACATTTTTGTAAAATAATTTTAAACGAATTTCAAAGGTGTTTTATAGTTGTTTTGGTATCGAAATTGGTATCTCTTCACAAAAAAGGGAAAAAAATGGTATGAAAAAAATGCTGCTAAAACAATTTCCATACATGGAAATTGTATAATTAGCATTAAAAAAAAAATTTGTGAAAAAAAAGCTCTGAACAGTCAATTCAACTACTGGCAAAACATTTAAGCGTTTTTTTTTGGGCTGCTACAACTAAAAACCTTGACTTTTTTTATATTTGTTTTCTGAAAAAAAAACACTCGTCATACTGTTTCCATATATGGAAATTGTATGACTAGCATTTTTTTGATGGCGACGACAAAACTGTTTCAAATTTTTTTTTGAAATTGCCCTCAAAAAATTTTTTGTGTTTTTTTTTCAATCGCAAACTAATTTTTGTATTCAAACAAACATTTTTTGAAATAAAAATTTTGCATTCAAAATTTAATTTTTTGTGAGTATAACGTAGTCCTGGATATACTAAGATTAGATTTTTTTCCTTTTCTCTTCATAACTTTTTTCAAAAACGCTTAAAACTCCTCTTTCTTTTGTATGACATTAATTTGTATGCCTTGATCAATGTCTGGTAATTTAAAAGTTAAATTTTTAGAAATAATCATTTTTGAAAATTATTGCTAAAACTTAAAAGTTCATTACTTTCGTTATATTATTTGTGTGAGACAGAAGTAACAAATATCAGGCTGTTTCCAATGCACTTTTAATGCGAGACGGCCAAACCTTTGGTTACTACGTTTGAGTAATCAAGGTTTATTTCATTTGTGTTCGGTTACAAACACAACCAAAAAATTTTGAGAAACTGAAATGAAAAAAATCAAAATTTTTGGTTTATAGAAAAATGCTAGTCATACAATTTCCATATATGAAAAAATACTAATCATAGACCTTTCATGCAATTTTCTGTACGTATGGAATTGTATGGAAAGTGTATGACTAGTATTTTTCCATAAATGCAAAAATTATATGACTAGTATTTTTGGTCATCCCGGGTCTTCGAAAAGAAAAAAAAAACAAAAGGATTGAGCAGAACAAAACACTGGAGCGAAAATAGTGCGGCAGCGACCAGATTAAAAGATATGTGGCTAGTTGAGTCCGAAGATACTAAATTGCGCATCCAATCCGTAATGAGGGCGTGGAACAAGGCTAAAAACTGTCAAAAAAAACTCAAATTTAACAAAAAGGACGCAAGCACGAGCGATAGAAGAGGTAGTAGAAAGCACAATAATATTCGAATGCCAAGTACCAACCTGGACATTATCCGAAATCAACCAAATACAAAATAAAAAGGACAAATTCTATCGATATGTTTAGAGTTCCAAAAACCAAGAGCCACTAAAAAATGGAACAAAAGCACAAAAAAAAATTGGAATGTGAGAAAAGAACAACGAATAAAATCAATCAGAAATTAAATCGAAGAACGTAGTATGGAATGGCCAGGACACATAATACGAATGCCTGACCACGGGAGAGTAAAACAAAAAACCTTTGGTTGAGAAAGCTGGAAGAGACTGCGAAACCGAAAATAAAGTACTGATGCAACCTCAGACATTGGGTCGAGTTAATGCGTGAAGCAGGCTTGCACCAGCTAGAGATAGAAGAAAAGGCTCTGAACAGGAACCAGAAGCAAGCGCTACTAAAGAGTCCGATGTCTAACCTGACACGATAGAAATATTCAAAAGAGAACGGTTGAGAAACAATCGAGCAATCACAAAAATGATAAGTGTGAACACCGAATGTAAACAACGCAAACGAACATTCAATTCGAGAGCTGGCCTAGCGATACATACAAAGAGTATGCACAGAGAAAGTGGACACACGTGCGACAGATGTAGAGCCACCTTCACACAAAAATCAAACCTGAAGAATAACGAAAAGAAATCCTATGGTACAACAAGCCGAACGAAATACGTCCCATCAAGGAGAAAAAGTCCATTAGGCAGAACACTGATATCGGCAAAAACCTAGCCTATAACCATTGATTTTGTTTTGAATACAGAAAACAGAACACAAAAAAAGTTAGAAATTCTGAAATCAAAATGAAACATACAAAAGATTTTAAAAAAACTATCTGCATCCTTTACTATTCTATTTTGTCCCATTTTTGTATGTTATTTAATAAACGTTTTTTTTTTTCAAAAAACATCCGACTTAAATTTTAGAAACTTTGCTGTAATCAGTATGAATGCTGGAAGATGTGATCAAACGAAAAAATATCAACGAAATTTGTCAAGCTTTGGTATTCAATTTTAAGAACACATAATGTTAAGCCTACTGGTTTTTAATTTAACGAAGTTTGCTAATTTAACGGTTCTCGAAGTTGTCTTTTTACTGCTTTACAAAATTTTGAGGATTCATTTACACAATTTATTACAGATTACATCATTTTAACAAGTGTAATTGTTTTTTCTTCTTCTTCTTCTTCTTCTTCTGTCATTAAAAGCGCTATTTGAGATTATAGAGCTTGATCGTTTGGCAATATTGTTCTGTAACATTTAATGATAGGTCCAGTGGACTATTTTCAACTTACTCGCATTTCATATTCTCAAGTTTCTTTGTTGTTTCAATTGTTATCATGGCTGAATGCGTTATGTTACGATATAAGGTATGAAAAACAAACGTGTTCACAATAGTTAAATTGTTCTTCATCAACAATTTTGTTACATAATGACAACAAGAAAGTAGTTTTTCAAAAATGAAGTTAACATGTAGGGGAGGGTGATTGGAAAAGAGCCCCCACCAGTGATATGCAAATGAGGAGAATAAATTTCTGCGTTTGCCAAGAATTGTCCACTAACCATCGTATAAAAACAGTTTTGTTAGCGAAAAGACGAAAAAAATCAAATGAAATTGCCAATTGAACTCATCATGCTTGGGCAACTTTAGCCAGTTCAGGACATTACTAGTCGCAGAATCGAATTCGCTTTCTAAAAGAGCTTTTTGGGGTGGCGGTTGGAGCAAAATTGTTCATGTCTTCTGTTTCAAAAAAAATACTTGGTTTTTGCGTGTTCTTTTCAATTATTTTCACCTAAACACTCTATTGAAAAAAGGATCACACATTTTAAACGCTCGAATACACTTCGTTGTTTTTTTTTCGTGAATTGGCGACAGAAATATGACGCCTCTGTATCGTTGAATGGCTTCCACAGACCACTTCAATGAATTTTGCGACAATTTTCGGCTCGAGTGCCTCTTAATTGTATTTTGGCAAAATAAATAAACAGCCAGTCTCTCCCAACATATTTGCACGTTTTTTTCTCATTTTATATAAACGGAAAACAAAATTAAAAAAAAACAGTCTTACCTCGAATAATTGTATGCTCTTTAACTCTTTGCTAAAAAAATCTGGAAACAGAATTAAAGAAGAGTGCTTTGCTCTTGTTCATCTGAGAAGTTATTTAAATCAGACCAACGTTTTTTTACCCATTTCACGATGGGGATAAGCTTTACGCGCGGGTTGATAAGGACTTGACCTGGCTATCTTACCTGAACTTAAAAAAACTTAATGACATTTTTTGCGCCAAACTTTCTATTTTTATGGTGCGTTGAAAAATTTTAAGATACAGGGATTTTTTAGGTGAGCGATCTAAGAAAGCTTGGCTAATGTCGTTGGTCGATATATAAAAAAAAGGATGAAGATATCCTTTTTAACTCGAGTATAGTAGGTTACGCGCCGGAAACGCAAGTACCTTATTTGCACAAAATCTCAAAAAACTCATAAGAAATTTATTATTTTTTGATCTGTGGTCACATATGTTTATATGTATAAACCTCATAAAGAATTAATTTGAACTCAGTTTCTTTTCGGACTTCCTTGAAAGGAAGATTTATACTTCATTTGGGAAATATTACGATTTATTCGTATTTTTGGTTGTTTTCCTACGTCAAACAAATAAACAGAAAAAAGAGCAGTGTTGCTGCAGAAATGTACTTTGCTGCTTTAGGGCCAGGTCGTTAATTCTCATTTCTCTTTTTTTTACCAGAGAGCAAAGAAGCAGTTCATATTTTTCAGTTTGGACTCCTTTTGAACTTATTTTGCAATCTTTTACCTGTGCCAGTTTGCCAAGCTTGCTTCACACGAATATAAACAGCTCAAGGCAAAAAGGAAAACAAGATAGGCTTCTACTAAGTTTTCATAATTACCCTAATTTCCACCGCCCTTTGGTTTTTTTACAACTTTTGAGACGGCGTTATTTGAGAGGATCGTTTGATTGATTTAGAAAATTTGGTCCAATAAATTAGGCATTAAAGTTACTCTTCCTGACATAACACTCATCCATTTCAAATTTTCTAACCAAAAGTCTTTTCGGTTTCTTATAATTATAATTACGTTCTTGCCGAAAATATTGTAAATTTGTTTGGTTTTGTTTTAACGCAAAAAATTGTTTTATAAAAACAAATTGTTTGATTTTGTATTAATGCCCTAATGATGGTAAATTGGTTTCTTTTCTGGAAACCAACACACGACTATTAGAGCTCAATTTAAAAAAAAATCAAACTTGTTCAGTGTGAAGAAAAGGCAAAAAAAAATGGTGGTTTTGGTGTATCACGAGAAAAATTAAATAAGAAAAAAAAGCAGTTGGAATACCTATCTCAAATAAATTGATTGCGATTTGAAGGCTTTTGGAGAATTGGAAAAGTTTATTTAACTGATGTCACAAAATGAAGCTGAACACATTTTTATTCGGTACAAAGGTTGTCATCAGCAGTTTTCATGAAATTTTTACATCTTCAGATACTCATTTTTTAGAATAACAATCGTAGACCAGCGCAAATTTTAATTCATTTAAAAAAAAGTCAATCGGAGCTCTCCGCATTTTAACGCGCAGCTAAAATTGGAAACTAACAGTCTAACAAAAAGATGAAATTCTCTAATAAGAAGAAAATTGCAAATTACGACCATTAATCCACAAGGGAAAGGACCAAAATATGAAGTTACAACCCATTTCAAGAAAAACTCCTTTCCTCTTTTTTGGCTGCTTTACTGAATTGTAAAGTGTTATTAACCACATTTCAAAAAAAAAATTGGTAAAGTTTTTATTCTGGAAAAGTTTTTGGTAAAGTTCAAAGCACAAATTTTTGATTAAAGTTTTGGAAGCAATGTTCGATTGAAATTATAAGCACAAGTAACTTCAAAGCGGGTTCAAAAAAAAGGTTTTCATTCATCTATGTTTTTTTTTCATGTTTCTTTATGATGGTATTTTATGTATAAGATAATACCTATGTTTTTAGAATCGTCGAAAATGACCTATAAGAAGATTAGTTCTATTTTTGCTTTTTAGGTATTTTGTTTAACAAATCTGTGTTACATTTATTACGCCTTCAGGCTGATTGCGATTTCGCCCCATTTAACTGCCATTCCATTCGATTTTTTGAAGTAAAATACACAGAAACGTTTTATTTTTGACACTAGGGTATGACGGTGTTTGAATTACAAAGCTGAAGGCTTTTTGAGGGCAGAATTGATAAGATTTGGTAATAGAAATTTCGGCTGTTCACTTGAAGGTCAAACAAAGAAAATCCCAAGTGACTTTTCGGAAGGAGAAGAATCGAAAAAAAAGAAAATTCAAGGGATAGAGAAGGTTTTCAACAGAAACTACTGATAATTTTTATGTTTTTTCATTTTTGTTTGTTTAAATCATCAAACAAAATTTTCAAAGACTAAGGCAAAATATCCATTTACTCCAAATATAAGATAATGATAGAGCATTCCTGAAAAAATGTTTTTTATAATATCTAGAGCGGTTATGAAAAGTTATCTAGTTTATAAAATCATAATTTTATTCACAGGACCAACAGACATAGTTATACAAAATTGCAGCAAAAAAACTATTACGTGTTCGCTACCATCTTCAAATTATTTTAACCAATGTTCGATTTCAATATAGTCAAAAGATTCGTTTCATTGGGGGGGGGGGGGGGGGGGATAAAACCATAAAATGAATTCGAAGTTTAATCAACTTTGACTTCTGAAATATGAAATTTGATTTAGCGTAATCGTAAAAGATCTCCCGGGTCTCCTTTTGACGTTTAAATGCTGATTTGGAAAGTTTATAACTTGAGTTATAACCCATAACCTGGGGCGTTTTTATCTTAATGACATACTTCAATCTTCAATCACTCGCATTTTTTTCCTTTATCTGTGTAGCTTATTAATATTCAGCTCCGGCTCCATCCGAAGTCTCCCCAATTTTATTATCTTTTGGTGTTTATTTGATTATATTTTATCCACTGGTGTTAAACCAGTTAAAAATTATTCGACGTTTATTATCTTCTTTCTGAAACAGAACTGCTTAGAGGTCAATGACTATTAAGACTTGTTTTGGATGGGTTGCTGTTGGATTGACTATTCTCGGAATATCAGGTGAATTTTGGTCTTTTTTAAATCTTACACACCATTACCCTTTTTATTCCAACCATACTCGAACATTTTTTTTACAATACTTCAAAAAATACATCGCCAATTTTTTCCAGGGAATTGTCATCAGGATTTCGTCCCCCTCGCCAACCAAAACGCCCCTTCTTGGGTATAAATTTATGACATCCGTTTCCTTGGCACCAATTTATACAAGTTTTCAACTGGGATGCGAGCCGAAAACGCATTTTCCAAAACAGCATTTTCGACTTTTTTTTCAAAGTTTTTGAAATAGGGCGCTGAAATTTTGTCCAAATAGGGTCTTTAAAGTGTTCCGGGAGTGTTCGGAAAATCAATTCGATCAAAAAAGGAACCACGATTATTGTACCAAATTTGTATAAGAAATTTTTCTCATGTTTTTAAGGTAAAGTAAAAAGGTAAAGTACAATCTGAACGTATGGACACGCTGAAGAGTTTATACTCAATTCATAGAAAGTGTATATTATATTACATCAATTGACAACATTTTTTAAACACCCTCTCACTAATAAATCGACCCCTTCAATAATCGAAGGGTCTATTTTTTTATTAGATCTTTTTAGGCCGACCAGCCCTATTATATATTAATTTGTAACAGGCGACAATTCGTAACAAGTGATAATTCATAGCGTAACAATAGAGTAAGCGGGAAACACTGATTCAAGCGCAATTTTCCTCTCGTGCCGGATGTAAGCGCAGCGGAGGAAGCATGTTAAACTTGCCATAATGCCTTGTTACGAATTGTCGCCCGTTACGATTTGTAACCTGTTACCTACCACTTGTCACCCTATATACAATTAAATTTTATAAATAATTCTTATGACTTATTTGTTTTCATATAAGTGGTTCAAGGAGTTTTCTGATCAAATTTTTTGTTCTATGGAGGTCAACACGAGTTTATTATGGCTGTGAACAAGCGGCCCTTTTGTATAGTTTTTTAAAAACGTCTCATTCTGCGCCTTAAAAAAATTCTCACTCTGCAAAAACTAGCAGTTGTTCTCAGTAGTTTATCAATCATTTTCGAATAAAATTTCGACTTCTATTTGTTTAGTAAAAGAAGGCCATAAAACTTTTTAGCATTCAAAAAATTCTATTCTAAGTTGAGCCGTTATGAAGAAAAAAAGCCAATCAACCGATTAAATTCACATAAACCTTATGAATACTAAATGCTTAAGCAAATTAAACAAATTACAGCGCCCGCGTTTTGATTGGAAAAACGCTTTAGGTTGATTATTATGAGAGGAGAAAACAGGCTAGTTGCAAGATGGTCATATTCTTCCATCGATCTTGCAAGATAAACACTATCAGCAATTTGCAAAATAGCCACTGCAACGGAGTTCTATAGATATTAGACAACTATAATGGAATATACTTACCAATCTCTATAAAAGCTAAAATGGATGATTATAATGCATTACTGATCGAATATATTCCTACAAAATCAAACATTAAAAAATTCATGAAAGTTGTTTATAATGAATTAAGGTTTTTTGGAAAACTTGGTTGAATTTTTTTGATGACTAACTAAATTGTTTTATTTTAGGAAACCATGAATAAAAATCCTCGGTCTTTATGGTTTAGATCCACATCAACAAAAACGGTTTATGCAAATTTTTAGGTTTAAATTGGATAAGAACAAAAAACATGGATTCTGAATCTCCAAATTTCTCTCAAATGGCACTGCAAACAAGCTTGCAGCCTCACGGTGACCATTCGGATCGCCGCTACCAAAGTTCTGCATTTATAATAATTAATTTCTGTAATGTGCTCAATTCGTAACCGAATTTATTATTATATAGAATATAATGAATTATGTATTTTAATGAAAGAGGTTGAAATTTCAAGTATTCAAAACTAGAACAGTGTGTTCCCTTCAAAACAATTTTTGGTTTGTATGAAGAATTTGTGGTTCTTAATTTTATTCTCTTAACAATCAAAAATTTTTCTCCAAAATTAAAAATTTTATGCTTACATTTTGTGTTTTTTGGATCTAACTATTTTATTGAATTTCCCTTACCTCTTCACCTGATTCAACCACCCTCAAATTCAAATTCCTTCTCTCCCTCCCCTTTACATCTTTTTATGGGTGTATAAGTGTGTTTTTGTGTGCTGGGGGGGAGGGTAAATTTTTGAACAGGGGGTTTAAAAGTAGGCGATGTGTTTTATGAGGGGAACAGGTTTAGAAACCAAATAGTCAGTGAGTTAAAAATAATTTAAAAAGTCTGTTTCATCCTTCTAAAATAGTTTTGCAGAAAACTTCTGAGATTACCATCAATTATAATCAATCATGATGAACTTGAAATGAATTGTAATCCAAATTATTTGATTTTTATTCACGGAAAAATCGGTCGTAAGGATAATACATTCGATTTCATGGTCTATACTTGAACAATAATGGGTTTTAATGGCAATATTTTAGACAATCTTGAAATCGAGTTTTTTCCATGAAACTCCGCAGTTAATAGCTTCAATCGACTTAAAGTTTTCAAATCAGGGGAAAAAATAACAATTTGACAGAAAGTCTCACTGGCGAACTCGAAAGTGTCGAAAACTCTAATTAACCAATCAAGTTTTTTCAGCTTTTTGAATAACCAATTCTTAATGATGATGTAAATTGTTTTATTCTCCTGAAGCTTAACTAATTCTACGAGCTCGTTAAGAAAAACTACCCTCGCCTCAATTTGATTGATGAGTAAATGTATTTCTGCCGCAGGGATTTTCCTGTCTGGAATTGTGGGTCTTGTCTGGGGGCCACTCTGTCTTCTGGGAGACAATGACCTTCAAAAACAAATGAACTGCAGGTGATATGATTGTGAACACTTATGTCAAAAGACAATTATAACAAAGCGCCTTTGTTAAATCATGTGACCAAGAAGGAATAAAAATCCTTCTTTTAATTGAAATATATATTTTTTCAATTTTCAATATATTGTGTATGTCGGTCCACCTTTTTACAAACACAACCGTCATATTTGAACTTGCGCTAGGAAAATTGAATGCTGCGAAAAGTTTGAACTGATAGTTTCGTCAGTACTGAGCTATTGGTAAAAATTGTCTCCTTTCAAATCATCGTTTAAATATCAATTTTTGGCCGCCTTTATTCCTGATTTTTTTCTCTTAAGCTGAACTGTTTAGGTTTCATGATTTTTTATCTTCAGTTGATTTAAGAAAAATTATTTGAACTATTTGATGCTAAAGGTGTTTATAATTTGCAATTTATTAAATTCAACCGGTTGCTGATAAAAAAAAAACAAAGTTTTGAATTAGGTCAATTATAGTTTTTCAATTTATTTTTTTTTCAGTCAAATAGTTAGAAGCAAACCAATATCTATGGCCTTGATAGTGTGTGGTTTCATGGTTCTCTCGCTGACCATAGCCATAGTGACCATAGAAGTCAGAACCCAAGTTGCAGAGCGACTCAATGGCAATGATCCGCTCACTCTCAATGTTAGTTCACAATCACAAATAAAAATATATATTTTTTTATAAATTGTTCTCAATATGTATCTAACTTTTCATTCTTTCTCAAATATTCTTTTTTTATAACAGAGATGTTACTGATAGATCGACATTCAATTGAAACTTTTCAAAAAGTCTGTTTTCCGGCGCTTAGAGTTTTAAATATTCGTGCAGCCAATTTCAAGTTTTTTTTATTAAATAGTGATAATAAATATGTTTTCAAGTGTATTTTCCACAGTTAGTACTCGGGACGTAGCCGAAACTCAATCATGCTTGCAGTTATTTTATTGTGATCCATAATCAGAAAAATTTTCGAACATTTTTTGTCTAGTTTTTCTAGTACGTTGACACATCAAAGAACTAACTTCTTAGGAAACACAATTCTCGTTTGTGAGTTAGGACCGATGGGTATAACTCATAGAGTAATTTCGGATAGGGTACACCGTCTGCTCGTCACGCTATCTTATTTTCGGCCGGATAGATTCGTGCAAATTCTTAGTCTAATACCGATCCTAATCTTACTCTTATACTATCTAGTCTCAGGTTGTTTAACTAGTCTCTGCTAGGCTCAATAGATCTAGTGTATACTGGTTTATTGCGGCTGCTGAAGTACTCGGGAGAGTTCAACTAGCTTCTAAGTTAAATTCAAATCTCTCTGGTGCTGAAATTACAAGTAATTTCAGCACTTACAAATAAGTGGATTGTTAGTCAGATGGATCATGATTGGTTAATATTAAATACTTTACATTGGTAAATATCTAATTTATCCAATCATAAAATGTAGTTTAGATCAGGTTCCACCCATCCGGGTTTTACAGAGTTTTTTAGAATAGTCTTTCTGCAATTCAAAGGATGGATGATGGACGTTGGTATTTGGCGAACATCTTATTTCTTCTGGGTTTTCTTATTAGAGAAGTCCCAGATTCAATCGTTGTGTCTTCTCAAGACAACGACTGGGTTTTCGCAACAAACTCAAATCTGATTTCAGAATGGTTGGCTATGTCAGGTTTTTTCTGTTTCATTGATGAGAACTTCTTTGTGTTTGACCTTGTCTGGGAATGGCGTGGAGATTGTGCGTGGGGGGATGCCTGGTTACTCGGATATGTACGTATACTTGAACATCGAGGTGGTCATTGGTCTAGTTCAATGAAGTCCTTTTCTGCGAAGTCAAGTCGTACTCTAAATCCTTTGAGTTGTGATTGTGGGCGGCATATTGATTGTAGTTGGCCATTCTTTCTCGAGTGTAGTAGGGTCGTTTTGTCTTTGGATGTTCGTCTTTGGTGTTGTATTCTGATCTATGTATTGCATAATGTAATTTACATTTTATAAAACTTTTATTAGTTTAATATTTTTTAATTATGATTTTAGTTAGTTGTTTTTACAAAAGCTTTTTGTTTTAGTTCAGTTATTTTGAAGAGTTACTCACCCTTGAGTAGCTCTTATTAAAAATAGGAGTGTGGTCACAAAGCGTGGATGTAGCACGGTGGGTTAGGCCGGCTATAGAGCATGCTCAGGACGTCCTTCCTGGTGGGTTAGGCCAGGAGTGGGAGTATGATTGCATGCGGTTTTTGTGAGAGGTCCTGTTATGTGACAACGTTTTATGTTGGGTTTGTTGTGGTTTTTCTTATGTTTTGTTGGTTGTGTCCTTTTTTTCAAAAATCAAATTGTTTGTGGTATGGGTTTGTCTTTCGACTTTTTTGTGTTTTATTATTTCTTTCTTAGACTTTATAATAGTCTTCAAAAGAATAAATTATCCAGTTTTAAACTGGGTTAATCCGGTTTGGGTACCGTTGGTTTCCTTTTCTTAGTAATGCTGTTATACTATGTGTTGTGGTGTTTAGTAAGCTGCATTGGTTAGTGTTGTTTAGTGTATAATTCCTTTCCAACCGGGTTAAAGGAAAGTTTGAAACTTGTTATCGTGTGTTAGAGTTGTTGAGTGTGAAAGCTTGAAACTGAAATTCATTATTTAAACAATTCTTCGTGGGCGAGCTGTGCGAGTTTGGATAGAATTCTTGTGCGAGTGAATGAAAATACCAAAAGGTTAGTACTGCATTTGCTTCTTATTAATTTACTACATAGAATTTTAATTTTACTGCTAGTTGTTGTGGAAAATTAAGTTACAAATTTTCATCATTATTAGATTTACTGCTTGTGGGGGCAAAATTTATAAATTAAATTACTGCATTGGTATTATATTTATTTAATTGTTGGTGCAAAAATTTAATAGGGTTTTAAACAGTTTTGAAGAAGTTTGCTATTTTTTATTTTTCTTTTGTGAATTTTTCAGATGATCGTTGGATGAAGGCTAAAATTCTAAAGAAAACATGGATAAAGAATGGTGAGTTTCTAATATTTTAATTAGTTAGTAATATGTATAATTCATACTTACCTGTTAGTCGTCGGGGAAGAAACCGTGGGGGAAGATGTCGTGGATGAGATCTGAAGTTGTTAGTAATTTAGCTAAAATGCGGATGATATTTTTAGTTTGAAGTAGTGGCCAAAGCAATTGAAGTGCTTTAATGGTGGTTAGTTCTTCAGTGCCAACTGCAAATTCATAAGGTGTGTTTTGGATTAGATTATATAATTTGTGATTGAATTTAGTGTTATGGATGAATTCTAAAATGGGGATTTCTATAGGTTGTACAAACTCGTGTGGGATAAGGAAGGGTCGGGATTCTTCTGCGTTGAAGGTCTTGGTGATGGGACAAAAAATATACATTTGGGTTATGGGATCATAATTTCGAAGAATACCATGAAGGTTAGTATCTTTAATGCAATATGTGAAGTTAAGAAAGAATGGTGAGGTGTATTTGGAATTGATGAATTGAAAACGATGGTGTGGTTGTCTGGAGGGAGTGTGTAGGTCGAAGTGATTTTGGATAAAACGATAATAAGTATATGTGTGTGTTTGTTTAGTGCGCAACATAATATCGTGTGAGCAGTGCAAATCTCTTTCATGTGGTGCAAGGAAATGAAAGGTTAGTGAAAATATTTGGAAGCGTTCTTTAAAACTTTCGTAGGCTTGTGTGTCTGTTAGTGCTTCTGAAATAATGTGATCAAACTTGCGATCGAAGATATTTAGTGTAAATACATATGGTGTTTTAATGAAAAATTTTTCGGTAATTTGTGGGTTAGCGAAGCGATCGTCGTCTAAGAATTGATCTTGGTTAGTTCTGATGATGTTATGATCGTAATATTCTAGTGTATATTCATTTGCTCGGGGTGCAGTGTGTGTTTTTAGTGATTTTTTATATCCAATGTAAGTAAATTGTCTAGGTGTTAGTGGTGTAGTGAGTCGATATAGCATGTCCTTATTTCGTTCTATATCGATGTGAGTGTTAGATAAAGGTAAGCAAAGGGGATTAGTAAAATGATAATATGAGGTCCAAGGAAGGGTAGGCATTAAAACGTGTTCGTCTACAAAGTTACGTGTCTCGTTAGTGTCGTGAGGGGTGTTTAAGGTGTATTGTGGAATTGAGGGTAAGGTGATAGCTAAAAATTCTTTTGTGTTAGTGTGTTTTGGATGGGTGATATATTCACGGGCTGTTCCTGGTTTCGCTGGGAAAGGATGGTTGGGGAACTTTCTTTTAAAAGTGCGGTAAGCTCTATTAGTGCTGAGTGAAGATTCAGTAGATGTGGATGATGGTGCTAATGATTCAGTATAAATTGAAGAGGGTGTAGGGGTAGGAGGGTTGGATGAATCTATTGTGGATGAAATATGGTTTATGGTGGGGGTATCAAGGTGGTAGGGTTGTTGTTGTAATGTAATAAAATTATCTAGTTCTGGGGAGATTCGGGGGGTGTCTGGAGAATGAGATGATTGGTCTGATTGAAGTGAGGAGTAGGTTGGAGTGACTTGGGAAGCATAAGAGGGCGTAGAATTGGTTGGGTCAGGGTTATGTGGTAGTATGGGTTGAAAAGGGGGTTGGGAAAAATTTGAGGAATTGGTGTAAAAATTATTTGATGGAGATGGTTCAGAGTCGGCAAATTCATCGGGGGTTTCAATATTCGGGTTATTGAGTTGTGAGATGGAGTATAAAACTGAGATGTGTGAATTAGTATCGGAATTCATGCCGGATGTTACATTACTGGTGGGGAAATCGGGTGGCGGAAAAGCAAAAAGTGGTATTATTGGGATTGGAGTGGTGAGGTTGGTTGGGTGGGAATTTGATCGGTGTAGGGATCCAAGTTGTCGGCTCATCGTGGGCTAAAAAAATTATTATTTTGAGACTGAAAAGCGGTGGTATGGGGTTGTTCTATAATTTGTTCATAAGTATTTTCATCTTGTGAGTGGTGTGGCATTATATGTTGGATGGGACTTTGTGATATGGTTGGTCTAAAATTTTGATTATGTGTTATGGCTAAATTTCGAAAATTACGTGGGACTAGGGATAATGGATGGTTATGTGGTAGGGGTGGTAACTGTGGTGCTGTTGGTGTTGTGTCTACATTGTTATGTTCTTCGTCGTATGTGTTCTGTCTTGTTGCTATTTTTGTGTTATATTCTTTTATTTGTGCGTCTAAAAGAATTTTGTTTATAGATGTAGAAAAGATTCCAAAAAATCCTGCAAATAGTATGCGTGCTACACTTGCTTGTCTATTGACTTGTGTGTGTATAGCACATGTGTTATAGATTCCTTTTAAGAGTAAAAAAGAAATCCAATAAAGTTAAACATTGCGTATAAAATAGTCAGTTTTTCTAAGATGTAGTAGGGCCATCCTAGAAAATCAAGAATTTCATTCTTGAGTGTAACAAAGCTAAAAATATTGATAGGTGATATATCTTGGGGACGGTATTTTTCACCGTTTAGATATATATAATCTTTAATGTCTTTAAAATATCCGCTATAGTCTTGCGTATAGATGTCAGCAAATCCTGCGGTTTCGGCAAGTTTGCGTAAGTTTTGGTCAATTGATTGTCTTTGTATTGTGTCCATTTGTGTTAATAATTCTTGGAATTGTTGTGTTCTAATGTGATGTTGAATATC